TATATTCCAGATTGTTGACAGTTATGCTGTTGAGTCACCCTTGTTACATTTATCCGGTGTGACCTTAATGAATATAGATTCTCTTATAAGTCTCTCTTTCCATTTGTTCATATTAGTTTTTAGAATACAAACATTGTCCCAATCAATATTGTGGTTTTTGTCCCATGCATGTGCAGCTATAGATGATTTTTTTCTAAATTCCTGTAAGCTTGTGTTCCTGTTGGTTGACCTTTAGTTAGTCAGGCGTTTATGTTCATTCACTCTTACTTTGAGTGATCTGAACGTTTGACCCACATATTTAGTCGGACACTCAGCACAAAATATTTTGTAAATCGCATTACTGTTTTTATCCATCATTGTTATGGGATCTTTCAGTTGATTTATGTTATTTTTAATTAGATTTGTCGGTTTAAACGTAATGCAAAACCCAATATTTTTGAGGTTTCTTCGACCCCGCCTCTCATGTACTATTTTTGTATGGTATCGTGACTGCTTTTCTTGCCTTCCTCCGTCTTGTCATTCTCTCGTTTCACCCTCTATCTCTGATAAATTCTTATGGATAGTTGTTTTCGAGTAACACTTTGAATAGAACTTTAATTTCTTTACGCTGGTCCTTTGATGTTGTTGTAAGTCTACGTATTCTATCTGCAAGACCTTGTATTAACCCTCATTTTACTGTGCGTGAGTGGATGAGCTGAGTGATAATCAAGGAATCTTCCAGAGTGTGTAGTTTTTCTATATATCATTGTTTTTATACTACCATCTGTTACTCTTCATATTTTGCAGTCTAACATAGGCAGTTCCCCAATTTCATTCTCTATTTCCATAGTGAATTTTATTGAGTCGATATGACTGCTTATGTATGTGAGAAGAATTTCTCAACATCGTTTTTTTCCTCATTATTACGAACGTGTCGTCTGCATATTTCCACTAACATTTTTTTGATGACCTGAATAGTTTAAATTCATTCTCTTCCCAAAAATCCATTAATATGTCAGCTATTATCGAAAAAGTTTATTTCTTTTAGATTCCTTTGCGTTCTGAGTAGAGCGTAGGACTTTATGCTTTCAAGTTTCAGCATCGATGGTGTTTTTTTAAACAGGTTGGGATTGTAGTCCCATACTCTAGCTCAAAGTTCCCTGTCTCAAAGGGCTTACTATCAGTTGGAAAACTCGACAGGATTCATAAATGTATCGGCCGGGAATCGAATACTCTACCATGTGTGCGGTTAGCAAGCATTTAACCATTAAATTACCGACGTAAAAACACCTTAATAATAACTGACTGAAATTATGAACAGTTCCTGCTTTTTATTTTTTTCAAAATTTCACGCATTTCTCCCCTACTGTGTTGTAGACTGTTTATTGGACAGGTGATCACATTCCAATAATGTTGTGTTTCAATGTCTTCACATCATTCTTTGTGTTTAGTGAATCGATTGAACAAAATTTTTGACTAAAGCCACATGACACTAATTTATTAACCGGACATTGAATATATAGTTTTTTGTTTTAATTCATGGAAAAATAATTTGCCCGCGTTTAATGAATGGTCGCTATTTGTTTTGTATAAAACGATGATTGTAACATGTCAACATGATTCTGGATCAAATTTAAGTGAGAAAAGGCGCTCAAAGTGGAGGATACTCCTAGTTACTGGGAATGTTGGTCAGTAAGAATCACTGTAATTCAGCTCTACTTTTCCGCCTTTCTCCTCCCCAGTTAATTTACTTATTTAAACACACTTTTTACAATATGAGTATCAAAAACCGCGCTATACAAAATAAAAAAGACAATCCATGATAAATTAGAGCATTTAAGGTGATTTGGCAACTACTTCGCTACTACGGGGTGCCACCGGTAATTATTCATCTCATCTAACAGCTGTACGACAATGCTGCATGCCAAGTAATCCACAACGGGAAACTTACGGAATCCTTCGAAGTGAGGACAGGAGTAAAACAAGGCTGCTTGATTGCTGTAGATTGGATAATGCGACAAACAGTGGGCAATGGGGAAACAGGTATAAAATGGACTCACACAAAAATCTTGGAGGATCTGGACTTCGCCGATGATATATGTCTGATTTCCCACAAACTGGAAGATATGCAAGCGAAAAGCAACAAGTTGGCAGAAGAAGCACCCAGGGAAGATAGGACTTCAGGTGAACATAGAGAAAACAAAGGTAGGTGATGAAGATTCCTGGTCAACAGCTACAGCAAAAACAAAAAACAACAATCAACATAAATGGAAGGAACCTGAAAGAAACAACCTCCTTTACCTACCTGAGAAGCATCGTTTCAACTACAGGCAGATGGAACTGAGGAGGATATCAAAGCAAGAATCGGAAAAGCAAGACAAGCTTTCACTACTCTCAAGTCTGTGTGGAGGTCAACAGCACTCAGCATCAAAAATAAGATCCGGATTTTCAATTCGAATGTGAAGTCAGTCAGTGCTACTATACGGATCAGAGACTTGCACTGCGTGTCATAAAGAGCATCTCAAACAAACTACAGACCTTCATCAACAGCTGTCTTCGCTCAATACTCCGTTCAAGATTAGATGGCCAGAAAAGATCAGCAACAGAGATCTCTGGGAGCAAACCAACCCAGCAGGAACCGATTGTGAAAGAAATAGGCAGGAAGAAATGGAGATGGATTGGCCATACTCTGAGGAAACCATCAAGTGACATCACTAGACAAGCCATTGCTCGAGTGGAACCCGGACGGGAAGCGGCGAGTTGGTCGTCAGTGCAAGGGTGACTTGGAGGTGGTCATGTGAAGAGGAGATGAGAGCGTGTTGTCAGACTTGGAGCCAGGTGAAGACTCTAGCAGAGAACCGAACGCAATGAAGACGCACGGCTAAAGCTCTATGTTTCTCTAGGAATTAAAGGAAACAATAATAATAAGGTGCATTCATTACTTTGAGTTATTTTCAGATAGACAGGAAAGGAGGAATCCATAATACATTCCCCACTGATGGCGTTTCTTAGCTGCATTTGAAAACGTCTCGAGACACTGTTTCAAATTGTCTTTCGAACCCTTATTCGGGGTCGCAACAGTAAATGCTAAGCTAACACAACTATCTTACTTCCCACATTGTCATGTTAAAGACGGACTATTCTTCAGTTTCTCTACCCCATTGCAGGTTTAGCTAATGAGGAATGGATAGTGTGGGAGCTGCCTAGATGAAATTCATTCAAGCCACCAGAGCCTGTACTCTAAAATGACAACATTTGTTGAAAAGTGGTCTCCACCATGTCCAAATACATGCTACTAGAACTCAGAATTATTTGCATGACGATACTACTGAATGCAGGCATTCCCATTAAGGCAGAAATTGTCCAAATTACAAACTGAGTGTGCATTCTCAGCTTGAAAAGGCCTAGTTTAACAGGCGTGGGGCAATACTGTACATCCCAAACATTTTAAATCTGACCTTAGACCTCACCAGAGGTAGTTCAAGTTGGCTTATACCTCCTTGGAGATCTCACCCGCCTTACAAGCACTCACACAACTACCCAGACATACAAATTTGTTGACTGCTTATAACGGTTCACTTGTCAGGATGGGTTTAGGTACAGACTGCTACCAGTCTTGAAGCAAGACTTGGCATTTGATGAGGCAAAGCACATAGCATACTTGCAGACATTGATCCTATACTTGAGATCAGAAAGTTTCTCTCTTAGAGACAGATCTCTACCACCGCCTCCACTCTCATCTTTCATAGCTGTCTTCAGAATGTCATCAGTGGCAAAACTGAAGAAAAGTGGTGAGATTGAGCAACTCTGTATAACTTCGCTTTTGGTTGAGAACGGTGCTGATAGCTTGATGTCAGCATTTTATAAGACTTCTGATAATTAAGCATCTTCACCTTCATAACTCTTTCATTTAGCCTGTACTGAACTCGCTCTTTACCATCTACCATGAATTAAAACATTTCTATAGCTTCTGCTGTCAGTTATAAAACGGTGCATTAGCTTATGACAAATGCTCAGTGAAGATACACCAGCATACCTCAGGACGCTAGATTCCACCTTCAGTCCAGTATTCATACAGCTCTTTTCACTTCAGGAACCCTTGGAGGATCACGTTTATGATCATATGAATGCCTTGTCAGGATTACTGGGTCCGTCACAGCCCCATCCTGACTGTTACGCATACAGCATACATACTATGGCCTTCAGTGTCCAACCTTGCAAAACATTCCAAGCAATCGGAGGTGCTCCAACCCCACATGAAGCTAAAGAGGTGTTCCAAATTTATGCTGGGTGTCAGCTAATAAGTGTCGTATTGGTTGGTGTTGGATTTTTGAATAGTCCATAGCGATAAAAACCCAACTTTCAGATTTGCACCAAAGGGGGGCGGGTCGTTCGTGTACCGATATATGGTAAAGCAAGCTTAGTCAGTAGATATATCTTGGACTCACTGGTGGCCACTCACTCTATTTGTAACTGTGAGAAGTCCTCAGGAGCAACTTCCGTTTGTCATGAATCGTATGTATGAATTAGGACACATGCGCACTGGGTGTACCCTAACATATCTTGGGAAATGATATCTGGGCAGCAAATCTGTATCCCGCCAACGCAGTAAACTTCACCTAAAATGTCAGGCTTCCTCATATGCCTTTGTGAAAGCTAACGTAAGACGTCCTTGTCATTGGTGGGCTCGAGATACCGCTGTTAGTATCAGGAGCAAGAGTTTACCCAAGATTGTGATAATTAATGATCACCTGAGGCCTTCATTAGGTCCTAATGTGAATATAAAGGACCGCCCCTCTGTTGGCTATTTGGAATTAAGAGCCATGCACATTAGTTTGAGCGTATTTAATTATTAGACACAGTACTGAGCACTACATTTAATTATCAATTTTAACTAACATTTTCTGTCTTCCATTTTCTAACTCAGGTAAAATATCCAACTTCAAGGGGGAACTATTTTTTTCCTGTCAAAAGAAAACTGTATGCTTTATATAAAACAGTAACTAGTCTCATCAAAATTTATGAAACTGGAAGAATTCAAAGAATCACCTGAGAAGTCTGATAGTGTTGTTGTGGAACAGGCCAGTGTAAATGATAATGTCGTCCTGTCCATAGATCGTAAGCACAGATGTTCTGAGGGGGATGACGATAATGAAAGTGGTCAAAATGGCACTGGACCAAGCGAACCAAAACGTCAGTGTTTATCTGCCTCCCAGGATATCAATAATGACAATGTTGTGAAGGTGGATCATGAATTTCAGTATTGGTTTGTGTTCACTGTAGTGACAGCCGGTAGACAAGGCAGTGAATTGGGGGCCGATCAAACTCCGCTTGTTCAGTTCAATGGAGTACTGGGTGACTTCTGCACCAATAAAGTAAGTTAACTAATTATTTTTAATAAGTGTCGCATACTTGAAATAAATGGTGTAATGCCTGTTACTCGTGAGGATGTCTAACTCTGAAAGCTGCTGCACTATTTTGCTAAGTTCTATGCTAAAACTCATTCAGTCAGTTGGGTGCTGTTAGAAGAATTCAACTTATCGGAACAGACTTCTTTTTCGTGTGTACCACCACTATTTTCCCAAGTTGGAACTTGGGAAGGAGTTAAGTGACGAAGATAACCAACCATCACTAACAGCAACAACAAACAGCACCGTTCACCATCATCAACAGGAGAGATCTAACAGAGGTTATCTTCTTCATCTATATAAGAAGTAATGTTTCAACCACAAGCAATCGGAATAGATGAAGATGACAAGGCCAGGCAGCCAGTCAGAATTGGAAAGGCAAGATACGCCTTCATCAACCTGAAATCACTTTGAAAATCATCTGCCTCACTCAGCCAGCCAGCATACAAGATTCGGATTCCCAACACAAATGTGAAGTCAGACAGTTCTTCTATGCGGGTCAGAAACTTGGCCAGCCTGTCACGAAAAGGATTTCCAACAAGCCACTGTAGACTTTTATCAACAACAACATGTGTTCGCTGGCTCCATACTGAAGATCAAATGACCTGTTGGAGAGAACTAGCAACTAGAAACCCTGCAGTGGAACAAACCAGCAAGCGAGAGCCGACTGCCAAACAAATATTTAGAAGACACATACTGATGAGGCTGCCAAATGACATCGCGCACAGCCAGGCCATCGCTGAGTGGAATCTCAATGGGAAACGACAAGTTGGGAGTCACTTTGATAATGACATGGAGAAGATCGTGTAGTGAGGAGATGAGAGATTACGGGCAATCGTGGACGTAGCTGAAGAGGTTGGCAGAAGATAGGACAGAGTGGAGATGTGTTGTTGAAGCCTTATGTACCATCCACTCGGAACCCAAGGGAACAATAAATAATAATAAATGGTGCTGTTGCTTGTTTAGTGGAAAAAGAATGTTCACTTACTTTACGTGTTATGCAGTCACTGTAGTACCGTAAGAAAAGATTCAACACTTGTGAGAATTCTAAAGTAAATGTCTATACCCTGGTTCAATAGAATTTGATCTGGTAACTGACTGATTCATAACTATTCAAGAATTTCATTTTATCAATGACATCTTTATAAATAAAGAGAAAGTATTTATTATACATCAGGACAAATGGTTCCGAATGGAACATAGAAGTAATAACTTGACATTAGTAATAATTAATTATTATTGATCTAATTTTGTTACACTGGACCGATGCACCTTGTTTACCAGCTGGTAGCAAGCTTGAGAAACGAGGGAAAGTTGCGAGTGAGGCTTGAAACCTTACGTGAAACCTTACCGTAACTTCAAATCGTGAAGCCCAGTGTTCCACTTAGAACGTCATGAAATTCATGGATCGTTGGGTTGGGTTCCAGTGTCTGGATGGCATTTGAGCTCATCATGTAAGTAGAAGACGCTGGGTTCGCATCTTGGTGGCGAGTACATGCTGCTGAAGCAGACACCTAAACTATGGGGACGAAACAGCTGGCTGTCAAGTACTCTCTGCTGGTTTTCAGTGATTTTCTAGTCGACTGGTATCAATCCGTGATCGAACTTGATGCGAATCAAATCCCTACAAAACTAATTCATACTTTGATATGTCAGGTAGTCCTAAGCAGGTGATATTTCCAATCTATTGCTTCCAGAGTGTATTCGATTTTGTTTCCTTCCTGTTCCCCAGTGGAACATAAGGCTTCAAGCTAGTGGTCTGAAGTTTCTGTAGCAGTGTTTATTTTTACAGGATGGGGTTGCTAGCCTCATGCCTAACCTTTCTTCTTCACCAGTATTATATCTGGCTTAGCGAGATAAAGGAGTGCGTCGGCCGGGGATCGAACCCCGGACCATGTGCATGGTCGGCGATTAAGTCATAGTTTTACACATCACTTTTAATAATTGCTTATATACTAATGGGATATTTGCTTTTTCACTTCCAACTCTTCTAGATTATTGATCGGATCACGATAAATCTTCATCCTGAAAGCCTAACAAGAGTTTATCAATGTTCAACAGATTCGACTGACAAAATATCGCACTCTCAAATGAATACAAACAGCAATAACAATATTAATAATAATAATAACCACTTTAGAGGTGAATTTCAAACTCATACCGACTGGAATATAACTAGTCATCCGACATCTCTGAATACATCAGTCTCTCCGTCTACAATAGAATCGGGTAAATACACAACATCAACGCATGTAAATATATCAGCAGAAGCCCAAGAAGCTATAGGTTTACAAGATATTGGACACGTTGAACAAAATGCTTTGAATTTCAAAGAGTCAGTCAAAAAAGTGAGAAAAAAACGAATTTTGGCGGGATTTTTTTAAAAATTTTTTATTAAACTTCTATTTATTATACTCATCCATTGATAGGAGAGCTTATTCTAGGTTTGTTGATATTTCAGCAATTTGTTTTTGAATTATTTCAAAATAACCGCGAGCAACTTGACCTTGAAAGTGAAACAAATATTATTTCATAGCAGCGCTACAATCGTTTTACAATCGACATGATTGACAATAATAAAATGTTTGCAAGTTATCATGTAATACTCTGTGTCACTGGTCTGGTGGTAGAACGCTTGCCAACACATGCTGGGGAGTTTCGGGTTTGATTTCCAGCCGACACCACTTCTAAAGAAACCGAAATAAACAGCTTGAAGACTAGTATTCCACTCAGATCTCAGGGAGTGAAAAATAAATGAAATTATAGGATACATTACACTGACCAGTCATATTTTAAAAGATCAAGAACTTATGAATAGGTAAAACTTCGTTAAATTGGATACATTTGATTAAGCCATAGTGCTCCTATCGCCTTAGATTAGAATTATTTGAGATATATTACATTTCATTATCATTATTCCCTTGAAACCATGGGAACAAACAAAACAAGAACCAGTCACTCAACAAATATGCAGGAGAAAGTGGAGATGGATTGGACACACGCTGAGGAGGCCACTGGGTGACATCACGCGTCAGGCCATTGCTCGAGTGGAACCCGAAAGGGAAGCGGCGAATGGGACGTCAGTGCAAGGGTGACATGGAGGAGATCGTGTGAAGAGGAGTTGAAACAGTATGGACTAACATGGATGCAGGTGAAAAGTACAGCAGAAGACAGAAGCAAGTGGAGACGTGCAGTTGAAGCCCTATGTTTCACTAGGAACCCAAGGGAACAATAATAATTATTATTATTCCCTTGGGTTCCGAGTGGAACATAGGGCTTCAACAACACATCTCCACCTTCTTCTATCCTGTGCTCTCCTATTCAGCTGGCCTCACGATTACCCATAATCTCTCATATCCTCCTTCTCTTCACTACACGATCTCCTCCATGTCTCCCTCGCACCAACGACACACTCGTTGCTTCCCACTTGGATTCTACTCGAATCATGGCCTGGCTGACGTGCGATGTCATTCGATGGCTACCTCAGTCAGGAAAACCATTCGAGATGCGGAGTAGAATATGCGCTTGATAATTCACAGATTTTAAACTAATTTAACTGGCAGTTTGTTAAGCATGCTTTCTTTCATTGAAATAGCTGTCTGAATATTACTGTGTAACACACTTGTAACAGCAGAAGACAAGGGCCAGGCAACAAATCGTTTATTAAGGAAAATCAACACATATTTATAAATTTTATTGTTCATTATTGTAGATTATTGTTAGTAGAAAATACAGTCTTTTGATTGGTTGTTTCCCACAGAAAGTTAACCTTGCATCTCTTTGTAGCTGTGTCAGATCATCCCTATGCTAACTGTATCCGCCTACGCAAAGCCTTTGTTCTCATTTTCTCACCACCGATATTGGGGACATAAACATTGACGTCAATTACTGTCTACCAACTTTGGCTAGCAGCCACCTCTCACCACATACTCAATTTTTTAGGACGTTTGCTAACCAGCGAAATCGTATGCGCATCGTCTTCAACTCGCCAGTTAATATATCATTCGTACAAATTTCGCACTGCCTTGAAAACTGAAGTTTCACTGCGAGGGGCGAGGGCATTTTTACTGAGTAGGAACAAAACTACTAAGATAAAGGCATTGCGTGCCCCACGTTTGTTTGAGAAACATCAGTCACTTAACTATCATCACTTTTTCCCACCTAGTAATTGAAATATCACAAATTTAATTTCTTATTTAGTTCAAGTGCTGTGCTTTCCTTTCTAACTTCCAGTTAAACACATCCGCTAGGAGGACTACAATACAGCCTCCCATTCCAATACTATCTGTTTCAATATACTTCTTTGCAGTACCCTTATATACTGAACCATGGTTACTCGGTTTCAGTCCTTCGACTAAATGTTTCATATATTTATTCCCCTTATTGAATTTGAACAAAGCAAGAACGACAGCAGTTTGCGCAGAATAAAGTCGTACCATCATTTATTTCGTTGCCTTCTCATCAACTGCTTACAGGCCAAAGTCATTATTTAGTATATTTACAGAAACAATTTTAACATACTTACCCAAAGAGAGTTCATTTTTAAATAAAAATCGATCAATCAGTATATGCATGCATAAAAAATATATAATAATAATAAACACTCTATGCCAAATAATCATGATCATACACAATGGAAACTTTCGACATTACGTAGTCAGATTAAAGAGACATAAAAATATCCACTTACTAGTCAGGGTAAAGAAAGACTGATAACTGTTTCTTTCTGGACGCATAAATCAGGTTTCAGGCGCTTGATGCAGACGGCTTCAGCAAACGATGAGAATTGAGCTCTTTTGCCTATTGATAATTTTGAACGACTTTTCGATGTCCACCTCATGACTCGTGTCAAGGAGATGGCTGGCGATAGCACTGTTTAATGCATTTGTTCCCTTGAGACATAAGCCTTTTGTTACATGTTCAGAAAATCATACATATGCCCTTCTTTTTGTCTTTCCAGTATAACTGCTCCCGCAGATACATGTAAATTTGTAAATATATTTGGAGTTAAACGCGGACTTGTCAAGACCCTGTACTATAGAGCGAGGAGAATATGTTGTATAAAGAAATTAGAGGAAGAATTTGAGGTTTTTGAAAAGATGTTGAGGAGCAATGGGTACCCTCAAAGGTTCATCAACAAGTATGGAAGATCTGAAGTCACAAATGTAAATCAAATCACAGTGAATAAAAAGCCAATATACTTTCAGCTTGATTATAAAGGTGAAAATATCACAGCGGTGGTCAACAGAAGACTGAGTACGTCACTAGCCAGAGCCTATCCTGCAGCTAAGCTCGTCCCCGTATATCGAACAACTTGCTCTTTGGTGCAGTCAAAAATCGATAGATATCCTTTTCATGTTAAGTCCAACTGTATATACAAATTTATATGTATCTGCGGGAGCAGTTACATTGGAAGAACAGAAAGAAGAAGGGCATACCTCCAATTTTCTGAACATTTACCAAAAAGCCTATATCTAAAGGGAACAAATGCATTAAACAGTGCTATCGCCAGCCATCTCCTTGACACGAGTCATGAGGTGGACGTCGAAAAGTCGTTCAAAATTATCAATAGGCAAAAGAGCTCAATTCTCCTCAAGTTTGCTGACCAATGCTCCTTGGTTTTCATTGATTCATTGATCTTGGTCGATTGTATCTTCGGATATAGTGACCACTATACGTTTTATGTTTGCCAAATGAAACGACTAGCTTGACCCAAAATTGAATAATATCAGTAAGACAACCACTGAATACCAGGGTATACTGAAGAGCTGTTTTATTCTAGTTTGAGACGCTTCAGGGTTATACACCCATGAGCCCACTAGAGATTGAGGTCAGAAGCTTCAAGCAACAAGGTTCAGTCTAGTGCCCTTCAAGTTCCCCTTTGAAATAGTTAAGAACACACTCGGTGCTACTATACAAAAGGTGTGAATTTAAAGAAAAGACTTGAGTTAACTGCAAAAAATAATTGGTTACTAGGGGAAAGGAATGGCGTAAGTAAGACAGGAGATGGATACATGGCTGGTAAATAACAAATTAATTGCGCAACAGTAAGTGGTGAGTTCAACTCATTGAAATAATAGAAAAAAGAGGCTAAAGCCAACATGATAATCTACCAAAGAGGAAAAGGTTAAAGTAAAAGATTATGTAAGCAAATAAAGAGAAAAATCAATAAATCAAAATACCACTGCAGACAGCGACTGTTAACTGCTTCTTCTGAGCAAACAGACTGCATTTTTAACGTTCAATATAGATTGCATTGACAAACGTATGAAGAATTAAACCATGGTGCGTATGTTTTATCCTAAAAGATAACATGCCTGACATTACCACTGCTGAAACAGCCTCTTTCCGGCATAAGAAATAGGCTTCTAGGCACATGTTAAGAGAATCTAACATGTGGCCTTCTCCCTGTTCTCCGTCGTCCTATGACTACAACAAAAAGAATAAATATAAACCTAATCGAACTAACTGACACTAGAATGGAACCTGAATGGGGAACGACTATTTGGTGTGACATGGCGCAGATCATTCGTGTGGACGGGGGAGGAATGAAAGCCTGTAGTCACTACTGAAGCCAGCTAAACGAGACTTCAGATAGTTCAATGAAATGGTGGTGTACTTCTGAAGCTCTACGTTCCACTTGGAACCCAAGGGAATGATAATAATAATAATAATATATAATCGATAATCTTCAAATTACCCATCTTTTTGATTGGCTGGAGGATTTCATCATGAGCTGACATCAGTTATAGTACCATTGGAAAACCAACAGGGAGTACTGGACAGCTGTTTTGTACCTCTTCAGCAGTACGCACCCACCGCCAGGGTTCGAACCCAGGACCTTCTAGCTACAATGCGACCTCGTACACCATTAAGCCACTGGGACCCGATGTCAGCTCATGATGAAATCCTCCAACCAATCAAACATAATTCCCCACAAAACCAATATTTGAAAAATACCCATCCTTTTATTGAAAAGTACTAATCTAATTTTCTTTTGAATATATAATCAATATTTCAATTATAGATTTTACATTGGTTACAAGAAAATGGGGTGTCTGTTGACCAGCATACTGACAATAAGCCAAATATCCTACTGATTACAGAGAATCATCAATCTGTACGGAATGTACTACACGCTGAAGCTGCCTATCGTGGTTTGGATGGTGAACTAATGAATCGGTCGCCTTGGCTAGTGTATAAGGATATAATTGGCTGTTGTGAACAATTCATTCATCATAAGAAGGACAGAGTTGATGATGTTGGGGATAGGGAAGAACAACAAGAAAAAGAAAGTAAAGAAGCCCAGTTACAAAATTTATTTGAAGCTGCCCGTGGTAAGTAAAAATGTATTTATCCTTTTTTGAGAACAGGCATATTTCTTTTGTAAGCGAAAGTGTTTGAGTTAATTGTTAAAATGACGTTTTATTCGAAACCTCCAAGTGAATAAATGAAAAAACCCAACCTTAATCTTGAACTCTCTCATGGTTTCTTCATCCTTAAAAACCTTCTTTACGAAAATAAGGAATAACCTTTCCAATTGCAGTTTAAACACTTTCGAGGCTTTGTCCTGTAGTTCCTTAACTGAACATGAACTGGTTACGGGAACAGTCTTCACTTCCTTTGTAGGCTTTTATTTGTAAACTGATAGTAGACATCAAAGATGGCGTTGTTTGAGTTACAGGGTGACAAAATTCCGCATCATCATCGAAAAGGCTAAGCAAACTCAGCTGTCTTTTAAATAATCACATTTCTGCTTCCTGTTTAACGTGGAAATCATGTAATTCCAACTTCGTTTTCACCCTAAACTTATCTAAGACTGCCCTAGAGCTAATCTTAACATTATTATATTATTACTGTTTCCTTTAGTTCCTAGAGGAAAATAGGGCTTCAGCCGCACGTCTCTACTGCGTCCGAGGTTCTCCACCAACGTTTTCGCCTGGCTTAACGTCTGCCCACATGCTTTCTTTCTACTGCCATGTTAACTTTTAGTACAGACGCCTCGAGGATGTCCTTAGAGGTAACATAGTTTTACTTCGTTAATGTTGGCTATCAATGAGGTCTACGACGCACGTTTCATCCTTTTTGAGACACATCATTCAGATGTACCTGTGTTCCAAGTATTTAAACTGATGGGCACGGGGTTCCAGTTACATGCAGCCACTATCGACTAAATAAGACTAGTTGTTGGTGAGAAGTTTTCATATTTTAATCCAAAAGCAGAAACCTCGCTTAATCCAGTAGCCAATCCTAAGCCTGGAAAAATAGGTTGTGTGGCCAGCAACACTACCCGGGAAAATTAATCCAGAAAAATAAAAAATAAAAAACTTATTCTTTGTTGGAATCGGAGAGACAATATAACGCAGGCCTTCAGGAAACCAGTTAGCCGTTGGACAAAGTCTCTGAAGGTCCATGCTCCACTTTGAATCCAACGGAATAATACCGGCAGTAACAACCCAAAACAAATAAAACGTTCCAGATTTTGAAAAATAACTTGAAGAGTACTCTCGATTGTGAGTACATGTATTTTATGGACATAGGAATATTGCTAAAAAACTTATGATTCAGGATTGTCGTTGAAGTTGTTTATTCCTCTCTGAGCTTTAATACTTGATTATCGACACACTTGATGATATGATGTTACTTGGTGGATAGTGCCTAACCAGTGGAATCGAGGATGCGTGTTTTGTCCATCTATGTCATTCGTCAGCTAGATGTACCCGCATCACAAATCAGTGATGATGTTCCCACTAAGGATTCAGGTACCTTCAACAGACGACTCTCAAAGAGGACAAAATGCATGCCCTGGATTCCACCATTAGTCACCATCTACAAAGTAACATTGGCAAAGTTAAACTCTAAGGACCACTAACTACCAACCTGCGAATGACCTCGAACGCACCAATCACGTGAAGGAGGCAGTTTTGTGTATGGAATACATGTATTTATGAAAAAAATGCATAACACCAGTATAAGTGTTACAGTGGATACCTTTCTCTCAAATGTGATAAAAGTAGCTCTCAGTTTTAGGTTGGAGTATCAACAGAGTATAATTCCATTGTGGGTAAAATTTATTTTGATAAAGTCTCACAGTGTTATACAGTAATATTTACTGATGACCACGTTTCGAGCACAATTTATTGCTCAGTAAATATCACTGCATAACACTGTGAGACTTTATCAAAACAAATTTTACCCACAGTGGAATTATACTCTACCAGAGTACACAAGTTCTATTCTTATATAAACAGAATGACTTGACTACATTCTATGCATGCAATTATTTAGGTCCTCTAACCCTAACAATAACCCTAATCTTTCTTGAACCTAACCCTAACGTGAAAATATCCCTAAACTAACTGTAATCTAACTCGAACCCACTCTAATGTTGACTTTATTCAGTTAATCTAACCCTAACTTGTCCTTGGCTTAAAGCGTAACTTAATCTTCCCCCAACCTAAGCTGAAACCTGTCAGATATCCCATTTAATAGCATAACGCCTCGATGAGCATATTTTATTGATGGTGACAACATTATTTACCGGGTTTCACTAATTTGCTCAGTGGGCGTTTGAAGGTCACTGGTGCGATCACACTCCACTGGTAGTTAGTGATACTTAAAGTTTAACTTGTCCGTAACATCTATAGACATCATCGAAGCATCCGTGCTAGGAGCTGAGATATCAACAGAGACTCAGCTATCATAAACTCTTATTAACAGCTGCCTTTACTAGCTCTACACTGAAAACCAGATGGTCAGCCGTAATGGACAATCAGTCAAGAACTCCGTTTGACTAGCTAACCACTTAAGAGAAGGTTACCCATACCAATTACAGAAAGAAATGGTGGTGGATTGGATATATGCTGCGGGGACATTCAATGAGCATCACACACTATTCAGGCCGTTGATTAGGATCCTAATGAGAAGCCATGAGGCATGTGGCACTACTCTCAAGTCTGTGTGGAGATCAACAGCACTCAGAATCAAAATTAAGATCCGGATTTTCAACTCCAATGTGAAGTCAGTCAGTGCTACTATACGGATGGATCAGAGACCTGGTGCGTCATAAAGAGCACCTCAAACAAACTGTAGACCTTCATCAACAGCTAGCTGTCTTCGCTCAATACTCAAGATCAGATGACCGGCCAGAAAAGATCAGCAATAGAGATCTCTGGGAGCGAACCAACCAGGAACCGATTGTGCAACAAATAGGCAGGAAGAAATGGAGATGGATTGGCTGGCCATACTCTGAGGAAACCATCAAATGACATCACTCGACTAGCCATTGCTCGAGTGGAACCCGGCCGAAAGGGAAGCGGCGAGTTGGTCGTCAGTGCAAGGGTGACTTGGAGGAGGTGATGTGAAGAGGAAATGAAAGCGTGTGGGCAGACTTGGAGCCAGGTGAAGACTCTAGCAGAGAACCGAACGCAATGGATACACACGGCTGAAGCCCTATGTTCCTCTAGGAATTAAAGGAAATAATAATAAAATAAATAAGATAGTTGTGGTAGGAACTACTTGAAAGTGATTGCGGAAAACAAACCTGCAGTCAAGACGCGCTGATGAAGCACCATATTCCACTTGGAAATTTATCACTGGACAATATTCAACTGTCTTTAAAAAACGGCTTTCATCAGAATTCTTCTCTGAATGTATCTGTATTTCTTTCTCCCTTATACATAAATAAATGAGTACATTTCATCATTTGAAAAAAAAAATTGCAAAAACCTGTTGACAGTCAAGTCACTTTGCTATTCTTTTAAGCTTTCTGAAATGAATACAAAGACTCATACAAATAGTAGCAGTATTAACAGTGGTTGGTGATTGAAGACATCAATTATTTATCAGAAATTTGCAGATTTCCTGGCAAATTATTGCATAAAATCTAGTCTAAATAAAAAAAATATATAAATATTCTTATCTCTGAGTAAAAAACAGTAAGTATCATATTACAAGATCTAATCATATGCTTGCAAAAATGAAAGTAGATATGAAATGCGATCCACTTTCATATGACTTTGTAGAAAGCAATAATGATAGTAATAATTATTATGATAATAATAATAATCCCCCTCTCATATTTCATAAGGCGTCGTCTTCTTTCAGTAATCAGTCGTCTTTCTGCTCTTATTGATTCCTCATGTTTTGGTATTTACAATCACCATCATCATCAACGTCGTCAGTATTTTGGTCAGGCCTTCCTTATATGTTAGAATGATTGATCTCACTCTATAAATAACCAGTTTGGTTCACATTTGATCATGGATTGATATTACTTGAAGAAATACTAAGGAACACACGTCCAAACCAAGTTCACTTTTAACAGTTTGAAAAAATTTGGGCATTGGGTATATGATATTCATTACTATAATAAAGGTTTTTGTGGTCCAAGGAAAATGGTCTTACCCTAAACCCCTCCAAATGCCAAACAGTCAATTTCACCTTTAGGCATAAATCCGACCTAAACAAACTGTTTGGCTCTTACGAGGTATGCAACATAGACGGCACTGAAATAGAAACTAAATCGGAAATTAAATACCTAGGTGTCATTCTATCTGCTGATCTCTCCTGGTCGTCTCATATCTTAGCGATTTCTAAGAAAATGTTCCGTCTTACCTTCTACATTAAGAAGTTAAAACACTCTGGTATCACCCAACCCTGACTCCTACAATTCGTTAATTCTCGCATCCTGCCTATTATTCTCTATTGTTCCCCCTTAGTTTTTCCCGGGCTACTGAAGAAAGACTATAACATATTACGCAGGATTTTAAATGTTGTCAGCAGGGTAAGCAACGTGCCACTTAACCAGCTTGTTAATATTCTGGTTCACAGGCACATGGACTCATGTGAAAAATGGGTTAAATCCATTTTATCTGACTCACACCACCCTCTTCACGCACAACTCTCCCCTTGTATCTCATCAAGTAAAACCAGAAGCCAATATAGAAAACTATATGCTCGCACCAGCTAGTACAAAAATTCAACCATACCCTACTTAGCTCGTGTTCTGTGTGATAAAGAAAGCATTAGGCGTGACACTTATAATTCATTAAATAGTCAGTAGTACAACTGGATCTCGTCCTTCCAACCCACATCATCAATAGGTACAACATTTTCTTTCTTTCTTTTCCTTTTCTCTCTCTTCTTTTTCCGTTATGTGCTGCTTTGTCTCTTTCTCCCGCTTACGCCAGTTAATAAGACAGCTCCCACTTTTCTAACACCTTCAAACACTGTTTCACATTTACCTTTGCTACTGACATGCCAATGTATTGTTGTAATAATGAACTGTGGTTTCCTCAATCTATGTAGAATTCTATTTATTGATAATGTACTAACT